CATATGGTCCTCACCATACCAGTTATATTTAATGTATTATTAAAAGCAGCCTGCAATTTAAGGAGGGATGATTCTGCTATGTATCTGTCAGCTTGTAACGGTTAGGATTTCCAAGCAACGTGCAATTTCAACATTTAAAAAACAGTGTCGAGCAAAGTCAAAGCTCGTTCAAGGTTAGGAAGGGCAAGTTTAGAATGGATGTCAGGAAGGTTCTCTTTACAGAGGTAGTGATCACCAACAGAATTGATGCCAGGCGTGTCTCATCAAGGCATTGGGACCATTTTGCGAAATGACTAGACCCTCAAAGCACGGAGACTGACTGTAGCATGTGTATTCTAGAAGGATAAGTTCAAAAGGAAGGGAAGGAATTTGGAATTTAAACTTATCACTGATTCCTTTAAATTGAGGATTTAGGTCTGAGAAGCTCTATGCATCTTATTGACAAACTATAAAGGTTATAAAAGGAAAGGACATGCTTGCTGGAAAGCAAAACTGAAAAGAGAAAACAATGGAACTGCACAAAGGAGCAGCAAGCATTGCCAAGAGAAAACACGCTATCATTTTGGAGTAGAACTGAAATCTTGCAGGAAATATTTCTTCCTTCAATTGGACTAAGTAGTTGGGATGGGCAGGGCGGAGGGGGGATGGTTGATGTTATTTTAGTTTAATTTGTGGACGAGAATACCCACATGATTGATTAGAGATGTAGTTTTACGCACAGTCTCTCAACTGACTGCATTGGAGAGTCAATTCACCTGGGTTACAAAACCGTAATAGCACCTAATCCCATCAATTTCCTAACCAGCTGGGGAAGGGGGACCTTTTAGTAATAAAGTTACTGCCCCCTTCACCACACCTCCCACTCCCCACCCACCACACCCCCAGACCTCTTAACTAACAGCCAGCATGTGTGTAAACCAGTGAAGTGGTGGCAAGGAAGAATGGATAGATGAGAATTGAAAACTGTTATTCAGTTAAAAATTGGTCTTGGATGGAAATGTGAAAATGGAACTATCAAATGGGCTGTAGGTTATGCTGTCTGCCTGAAATCCAATGCTATTAATAGAATAAAATACAGGGTGGGTGATACAAAAGATAGTCGAACTACTAACACTGCCTGTTTTGTAGTACATCCCCATCAATCCCTCTTCCATCCCCATGCAGCTCCCCAATCCCCTCCCAAGACCAAATCCAACTCTTTTGAGAAATTGCTAGACAACTTCAATAACATTCAATGTCTGATTTCATAAAAGATTCCATTGAAAATCTCTATGGTCCCAATCAGCTGCAAAACAAACTTTAGCTTTTTGACTTCAAAGAACACACATACATTTACTTTTAAATGACCCGACTGACAGATATTGCCATTTCCTTCATGTGAACTCTCCACTTATGCTTGCTATTTTCAAAGACTAATATTCCTTTATCACTTTCTCAGAAACATTCTAAACTTTGTATTGCTTTAAGGGCAAATGTATCTTTGAAAGAAAAGTGGCTAGGTACAGGAAAATAGAATGAAAGGGGCTTACCTCAAACATTTCGGCGTGCATGTGTCCAATCACCTGCTTGCCCCCTGCCTCTTGGACGCGGGTGGAGATGTTCGAGGGTCCGGGTCCCAGCAATAGTTTCTTCGGGACAACAAGAGGTTGCAGGAGGGCCGGGGGTGGCGGAATCGTGAGCTCAGCGTTAGTGTACATGCTGCGGCTAAAGAATCTGCACTGGGAGCCCAACCGCGCCTGGGGGGCAAAGCCTCGTTCAACCTGCACCGACAAGCTACAGCCTGTCAAACGGGCCAGGAGAGGGCTTCGAAACACGACCTGTGACATTGTCAAAATCCTTCCGCGGCACCACACTCAGCAATCACCCGTTCAATCAGACCTTTGATAATTGTCTGGAGGTTTTTCGGTTTATTTGCGAAGAAAGAGAGGAAGGTCTATGGCCCCTCGAGCACTGACCAGCACAGTTTGACCTTCCAGTTACAGCACGTGCAGAAAATTTCCAAAAACCTTCCAATCTACTCTGTTCCCTCAACTCCCATGAGCTCTCTGCACTTTAACTGAAATCAGATGAGTAAATGCAGCTCACCAAAAAAACAAACAACTGCAGCACGTGTCAATAAATAACCGGAATTGCAAAAAACATTTGTATTAATGGTTAATTATTCAATCAAATCCAGTTATACATTGCTAACCAATAAATTAGGCTGGCTTCTTCAAGAGGCACCTTCTGTGCTCCCCTCTCCGAAGATTAGTGCTGCAGAGTCAGGAACGGGTTAATTTGTCAAAGACATTTGTATTTTCATAGAATACGTTCAAAGATAATTTCAATGTTTTTTTTTCTGAAGTCAAGTGGTCAGGTGTTTGTTTGTCATGTCAGTCACCAACTAGCAGAAAGAGGTGGTGAGCGATAGACCGTAACTGACTGGTGACTCAGCGGAGGAGGGGAGTGGGGTCAATATACTGGAACCAGGTTCAGTGAGAATGTCATCGGTTCCTCAGTACCATAGCAAGTTAATGCTGGCCAGAAGAGTTGGGTCTGTCTCTGGTTTCTTCTCGGTTCTCAATAGCTCACTTTTGAGGCTTGGCTGGAGGCAACTCATCCCCATTGAAACAAAAGGGGCAAAGTTTCTCCGCATGCTGTGTAAATAAGTGCTGAAAGCATTTCATTTGTGTCACAATGCCACTACATCACTTGCCTGTGTGATCATCATTCATCCAACCAAGTCATGACAGTTAAGCTTAAAAGGCTATTAAAAGGGATAATGAGATCCTAGATTAAATGCAAAGGAAGAGTGATTGTAAAAGAACACTGTATACCTTTAACATCTTGCTTTTCAGCTGAAGACTTGATCGGGCCAAAATGGACGTGTTTTCTTTAAGGCACCTTATCATCAGACAGATTCTCAAGCCATGGAAAGCGTACAACCTTAATTGATGAGAATGATACTGGGAATGAGAATGATACTGGGAATGAGAGTTTATGAGCACAAAGGAAGTCTCAAAAATTAAAGCTTTCTCTTTCACTGAAACAGGGAAGGTTAAAGATGATTCTAATAAAGGTTTCAAACTTATGGTGAAATTGGGAAGGTGAAAATATGTAATATCTTTCTGGTGTTTGGGAAATGCTGGGGATAGACAGTGAATTATCTTTAGAGGAATAAAAGGGGGAATTGTTTTGCCCACATGTTGGATTAATAGAACTTGGAATGTTTTATCACAAGGTTATGATATGGCAGAGATGGTAGGAACTGCAGATGCTGGAGAATCTGAGATAACAAGGTGCACAGCTGCATGAACACAGCAGGCCAAGCAGCATTGGAGGAGCAGGAAGGCTGACGTTTCGGGCCTAGACCCTTCATCAGATTTCTGAAGAAGGGTCTAGGCC